TATTTTTATTTTGACAACAAACAAGTTGCTCTTTTATGTCCAGAAAGAAAGAAACTCTATAAAAAAAGACATGGAGGGGAATAAAGGGGAGAAAGAAAAAAACAGCTTCCCAGCTTGCACCCAAGGGCGTCTCTGCTTTGGACCTGGCCGGCCGGGAGCATCTGCTCCGCGACAGCTGGGGACTTCCCTGCACTGGGGGCCAGGCCCAGGGATTGACTACCAGCCTGCCACTGCCGTTTGTCACCCTGCCCCCACCCCAGGGACACAGACAGGACGCCCCGACCTCAGGGCCTCCAGCCCAGGGCCAGGAGCAGGGCCCACTCGGTCCTGGGCTTCCCTGTACCGCCCACTGCTCCAGCCCCTGGCCCAGGGCGTGCCCACTGCCTTCCGCCTGGGGTTCCCTTCACCCTCTCCGGCCCTCCGGGCACCATCGGCAGGCCCAGAGGAGCATTAAAAGGAGCCGACTGCAACTGAAGAAGGCGCTGGCCAAGTCGCAGTGGGCAGGTGCTTCCACACCGTGAGGCCGCATTGCCTGCTCTGATCACGGCTGTGTTCCTGGGCTCCAGGACAGGCCCTGGCCCTCCACAGGGGCTTAGTACAGGCCCCATGCATGGCACGGGCCCTGGCCCTATCTAGAAAGAAGACACCGAAGGCCCAGAGAGGTTAAGCAACTTGGCTAAGGCCACACAGCCAGGGGGAGGCTGGGCCACGGCGCTCTGTCCCATGCTGCACCAGTGCTCCTGGCTGCACGGAAGCCCTCCCCCACCCCGGGTTCCGGTTTCCGGAGGGAGCTGGTCCTCGGTGATGGCCAGAGTCCAAAGCCCAACTCTGCCACTTCCCAGCTGCGTGACCGTGAGCCAGCTTCCTGACCCCGCGGTGCCCCCATTTCCCCATCTATAAATGGGTGCAGCAGCAGCAGCGCCTTCCACGCTGACTGACTGTCTTGAGGACTAAGTAACCCCTGCCTGGTCCAGAGTGCACATGGTATTTGGTAGTTAAAGAAAAGTGAGCTTCGCTGCCTGGCTGGCGTAGCTCAGTGGATTGAGCACGGGCTGTGAACCAAAGCATCGCAGGTTCGATTCCCAGTCAGGGCACATATCTGGGTTGCAGGCCATGGCCCCCAGCAACCGCACATTGATGTTTCTCTCTCTCTCTCTCTTTCTCCCTCCCTCCCCTCTCTAAAATAAATAAAATCTTTAAAGAAAAAGATTTATCTTAAAAAAAAAAAGAAAAGTGAGGTTCTTAGGGGGTCAGCTGAGCTGCTGGGCCGAGTCGGGCACCGAACCACCGCACCAGGGGCTGCTGGATGCTGGGCTTTGCAGCAGCAGCCAGACCTCCTTCCAGCCGGGGGGCTGGGGGCGGGGGTGGCTACTGAGCCCTTCGCCCCGCTGGACAGCTCCGTGCTGCCTCTGCCTCTCCCTGACACGCACCTGATTCTGGGACCCTTACGCCCCCACTCGCCCTGGTGTAAAGTGTCTCCCCTCACCTAAGAAAGGGGGGAGTCGAGCCTCCCCGCCAGGGAGGGGGACTTGTGCCGTAGCCAGGACGGCCACAGAGAGGGCCGGACCCGTCGTGACAAGGAAGCAGGGGCAGAGTCCCTCTGGGGGAGTCCGGAAGCTTCCTGGAGGCCATGCCACCACTCAGCGGGGTGTGGCGGCTGGTTGGCGTTGACAGGACAAGCTGAGAGGAGAGCGCCTCCTCCGCCGTGGAGGGGCAGCGTGTGCGAAGGCGGGGACGGCAGAGAACGCGCATCTGACCCCGCGGCCACCTTTGCTTTGGCAGGACACCCAGGGCTGGCCCAGCCCAGCCCCGACAGCAGCTGCCAGGAAAACAGGTCAGAGCAGGACAGACCCTGGCGGCACTGCACGCGAGCTCGGTGGGGACAGCAGGGTGGGTGGGCTGGGCATGAATGGGTGGCTGGCCTGGCCCCTCCACCTCCCTGGGTCTGTCACTCCTGCCCTGGTGTCCAGGCCACCCAGCGAGTTCGCAGGCCGGTCACAGCCAGCAGCCGGGGCAAGGGGCGGGGAGGAAGAGGAAGCCCAGAGCTGGGCAGGAGCCCTGTCCCCGCCCAGCTGTCCTGAGCCAACCCTGCCCCGGGACTAGGCCCAGCCTCTGCGGGCTGGGTCGCCCTTAGCCCAGGTTGCCCTGGCCGGGGCGGCCAGCACTCCGAGCCTCCCTGTGCCCTCCATAAACGGAGATAAGAATGCCTTCCCTCCCAGCTCCTCCTCACAGCTCCTCGGAGCGCCCAGGGAGCTGGCGCGTGAGAAGGTGCATTCAAACAGAGGGCTGCCGCCTCTGCCCAGACCATCCCTGTCCCTGCGCTGCTCTGGCTGGAGCTCGGAAAGCTGCTGTTCGGTGGCGGAGGCCAGACAGACCTGCATTTGAATTCTAGCTCTGCTTGTGGGGAGCCTTGGATCCAGGCAAACACTTCTTCGAGCCTCAGTTTCCCCGTCTGGAATCATCCAGGAGGGGTGTGTCCCTGGCTCAGCAGGGGGAGTGGCTGACCTCTGCGAAAGGCCAAGGTCAGCCCAAAAGGGCAGGGTCGCACCAGGGCAGCTCCAGGGCCAGAGGCACTCTCGGGCCAAGGCCAGGCCACCACCTTCTCGGCCTCCTGACGCCATCCCTGCCCCTGGCTGACCCCTCCCCGCCCCACCCCAGCCCCACTCCCCACCAGCCTGCAGTGCTGAGTGTCGTAACCCCTCACCCCTGCGCGAACCCTCCCCATTTACGACGAGGCATTCTTCTGGAAGGGGCTGCCACCCCTTCCACGCAGCGCTGTTCCGCTGCTGCCATGGGCGGGCCCTGTCGCTTGGGCCCACGGAAGCCACAGGCTGGCAGAGACAGACAGACAGACAGCCACGGCCAACACCCCCTCCGAACCTCAGGCACGAGGGTCAGGGGCTTCGGGAGGGATCGGGCAGGGCTCCCCCGAGGGGGCGGCCTCGGGCTGGGCCTCACAGGGGCCCCGGGCCCTCGGCGTCCTCCTCAACTTAAGACTAGGTGCGTGGTGGGCTCCCAGGGCCCAGTGCATGCTGGGAGCTTGGTGCGGGTTCAGTGGGCGCACATGGGGTGAAGGAGAGGAGACCCCGAATGGTTCTAGGGGAGAGAACCTGACCGGGGCAGCTCCTCAGTGGGGCCTCCTAGGGCGGCAATGGAAGCGCCAGGAAACACTGGTGATGGACTGGGGGGCCATCCTCCTCAGCTACCAGATACGGTGGCCCAAGTCCCCTTCTGGGGCCTCGTCACCCAGAACTCCCCCCACCCCCGGCCCCCCACCCCCGCCTAGACTGCCCAAGGGCAGGGAGGTCCCGACAACTGGCGCCTTTGCTGTGCTGCGAGGCCTCAGGCCACCCGCCGGCTCCCTTGGCCTCGGTCTTCCTGTCTGTGAAATGGGACGGTGACCGCATTGTGCCCCGGGCTGCGTGGGGGTGGGAGAGCTTGGCTCCTGACCTCTGGAGTCCCCGGGGTCCTTGGGGAGACTCCCTGGGGATTCAGAGCAGGAAGCGCTCTTATCAGCAGCTCCCAGGCACCCCGGTGCCAGCCGCGCGGGCTGCGGGCACCCTCTTTCATTACCACGTCTGCCCCCACACCCCGGGCGGCTCTGCCTGCCTGACAACACTCATTCGGACCCCCTCGCACGGGGCGGCGACGGGGCACGTCCCAGATGAGAAGACAAGGCCTCCGGACTCTGGCAGGTGCCAGGAGGGCGGACTCTGGCAGGTGCTGCAGCTCCCCGGGGACCGTGGGGCAGTGTCGGCCGACGGGCCCAGCGGGGCCTGGGCGGGACTCTCCGGAGCGGGGGTGGGGGTTGGGGGGTGTGATGGGACCGACAGACAGACAGAGAGGGACGGTGGTATCGGAGGGCGGGAGGGAGAGAGGCCCTGGGGGAGAAGGGCGGGGAGGGGCCCTCGGGACAGGCAACCTGGGCGCTGTAGCTCTGGCCCGGACACGGAGCGTCCCCGGGCCTGGCGGCCCTGCCAAAGCACACAGAAGCCTGGGGGGGCGGGCACAGGAGAGGGCTCCGCAACAGCCACCTCCTCCCTGCTCCCAGCAGGGGCCAGCCCGCACACGCCCTCCCTCCTGGGCAAACCAGCACACACGTGCCCACCAGCACACCTGCACACACAGGTGCACACTCACACCTCACGTCATGCCCTCTCTGACCCACACAGACCCACGCCCGCACCATCCGCTTGACCCAGGGACCACCCGTCTGCCGGGACGGCATGCCTGGGCCCAGGCATGCAGGCACATACCTGAGACCTCGTCCCCTGTGGCTGCCCGTGTCCTTGGCTCACAGACAACCCTGAAGGGCCCGCGGGCCCCGGATCCTCCTGGACCCTCTGCAGGAGGCGTCTCTCCCTGCAGGGGCCACGCAGCCCCCGCTGCAGCCCGACCCTGCCCGCCCTCCATTCCTTCCACAACAAAGACGGCAGCGGGGGGGCCTCCCCCAGGAGACCCTCTGCAAGGGGCTTCTGTGCCACGGGTCCCCCTGCCCACGCTGCTGCACTGCTCCCCGCTGGCCTCAGTGAGACACAGCTGCCGACGCCCGTGGCACACCGAAAGTCCCCTCCCGGCCGCCGTTGTGAACAGAGTGGGACTTAGGGCACTGGGTGGGTGGGTGGGGAGACACCAGGGAGCTTCACAGGGCAGTAGTGCCCGGCACCCACGCCATGTGGCAGCCACGGGAACGGGTAGCCCGCCTCGCTCTGCCCTCCACCCGCGTCCAGGGCAGACCCCTCCCGGGTGGGCAGGCCTCGCCCGTGACGGTTTAGACAGAATATTCTGCCTCGAGTGGAGGAGAGGGTTCTCCGCTTCCACGGTGGGCAACCCACTCTGCGGGGACGGATTTGTAACCGTGACGAAACCCGAGAACAGGCCCCGGGGTGTGTCAGCGGAGTGGGTTCCCGCAGAGGGCTGCCCCATGCCGGGGCGAGTGCGGGATGACCGACGGTGGCTGCTGGTGATCCGTGCACGGGCTGCCCCCCACCCATTTACTCTTTTTAGTTGCATTTTTTATTTAGATTGACTTACGTCACATACAATTGGTCATTGTAAAGTTTACAATCCAGTGGTTTTTAGTATACGCATCCTGTTGTGCAACCATCGCCACCGGCTAATTTCAGAACATTCCGGTCACCCTCCAAAGAAGCCTTGTGCCGCAGTCTCATCGGCTGCCCCTCCCCCACCCCTGGGACCCACCCACCTACTTCCTGTGTCTGTGGATTGGCCGGTTCGGGACGTGTTGCGTGCATGGAATCGCACACTCCGAGGCCTCCGTGCCTGGCTGCTTCGCACTGCGGGCTTGGGGTTCGTCCACACCGCAGCCTGTGTCCACGCCTGATTTCGAGGCTGGGGGTGGGGGGGCCGTGTGCAGCGCAAACAGACCGCACCCCGTTCACCCTCACCCGCGGGTGGCTGCTCGGGGGGCTCCACGCGCACTCCCCAGGTGTGTCGTTTGCAGCACGGTTTGGGGACGTCTGTGTGCGGCTGACACCTGCCCTCCCTCGATTCCCCTACTCCGAGAACAGGGCCTTCCTTTGCCGAAACGCTCTTTTCTCTTAAGAGAGAACGGTGGCTCCCCATGAGAGTTTTTGACTAAAGGATGAGTCGACTCCCAGCCCTCTTCCACTCCTCTGGGTCCCGAACTCGCACGTGGGGCTGGCGACCTGGGGCTGGTGACCCGGCAGAGCCTGTTCAGCTGGGACGTCCCGGGAGCAGAAGGCGGATGTGTCACCTTTCCCCTGGCACCCACGTCGACCTTCTGTGCGCCCGGCCTCCCCGCCCGGGGGCGGCTCCGTCCCGGGGAGAGGACGGGAGGAGGACCCCGTGCTCGCCCCGCTGAGTCACCGAGGGGCGGGAGGTCAGGCCTGCTGGTTTCAGCTGTGCTCCTCGTTCCCAGCTGTCAGCTCGGAGTAACAGGAAACGACGCTGTCAGTAGCGAACTGTTGCTCCCAGGTACGCCGGGGCCTGGCCGTGGCCTTGGGGGTGGGGCTGTGGAGAGGTGGTCAGAAAAGTGGCCATTTGATGTGTTAACAAGTCAGTGCACATAGAGTTTATTATAACAGTGATACAATAAAGCACATCGAAATCTTAAAAATAGGCCCCAGCTGCTATGAGTCAGTGGACTGAGTGCTGGCCTGTGAACCAAAGGATCGGCAGTTCAATGCCCAGTCAGGGCACATGCCTGGGTTGCGGGCCACGTCCCCAGTAAGGGGCGTGCGGGAGGCAACCAACCATGCATTTATGTTTCTGTCCCTCTCTTTCTCCTTCCCTTCCCTTCTCTAAAAATAAATACATAAAATCTTTTTTAAACAATCTTCAAAATAGGAAAAGAAAGCAAAAGTCACCCTTGATCTCACCCCCAAATCAGCACTTATTCACAGCAGAAGGAAGTGTGCACCTGCGTGGACAGGAAGCTGAAGGTGCTGCCTCCAGGGCGTAAAGACAGACACACAGACCAATGGGATACAGGGCCAGGGTCAAAGCCCCGCCTACTTGGGCAAAGGACTGTCAACTAGAGTGCGGAGACCATTCCACAGGGAAAGGACGGTCTTTTCAGCAAACGGGGCTGGGAAGAATGGACCCCCGCACGCGAGGAATGAAGCCGGACCCCAAGGCAGCACCACACACAAAAATGAGCTGACGATGGACCCAAATCTAAGAGCTAAAACTATAAAAGCCTTAGAAGAAAAACACTGGAGAAAAGCTTCACGGCTTTGACTTTGGCAATGCTTTCTCAGACACGACACCAAACGCACAGCCAACAGGAGGAAGAAACTAGACGCGCCGGACTTCACCCAGATGAAAAGCTGTGGTGCGTGAGAGCCTGCTCCTGACCACCCACGGAACGAGAGGAAACATTTGCAGAGCGTACAGGTGCTAAGAAACGACTCGACTCAACAGCAAAAGCCCCTCACGGCCTGACTTTAAATGGGCGAAGAGCCCTGTCCCGTGTGGCTCCGTTGGTGGGAGTGTCCTCACGGAGCCGAAAGGTTGCGGGTTTGATCCCCTGTCCCGGCACACCCGACTCGCCGTCCCAGCGTGGGCAGGAGGCAGCCCACTGACGCGACGCTTCACCCTCACACTGATGCTTCTCTTGCTCCCTTCCCCTCTCTCTAAAGCGATGAACAGATGTCCCTGGGGGAGGACAAAAAAGAGGAGGCAAGGCTTGAACTGACATCGGTCGGACTGATCTTTGGGTTCTGTCTGGTTCTGAGCATCCTGGCTTTCCCCGTGGCAGGGGGACGCTTCTCCAGGGAGGCGGCCGCAGCTGGCAGAGGAGGACGGCTGGACTGTTCCAGCGGGTGGGTGTTCCTTGCTCCCCGGGAGCGCCGAGTGGGTTTCCGCCACCGGCCTTCCCAGGGCCTGGCCCTGCGCTGGGCTCTCCTGGAGGCCTCCTGACCATGCACGGCTGGGTCACAGCGGTGGGGGCCGCCAGGCTGAGGCAGGTGGCCACCTGCGCCTTCCCCGCATGGTGCACCAGCTTCCTGGGGAGTGGCCTCCTCAAGGAGCAAGGAGACCAGGTTTGGGGACCCCCCGCCCCCAGGAGCAGGGAGCTCAGCACCTCCCACGGTGGTAAATGGTGAATGGTGACTTCCAGCTGGTGGCTGCCCCCCGCCCCGGAGAGGCCGAACCCCTTCGGCCGTGAGAAACGGGAGAGGGCCATTTCACGGTCTCGAGCAATCCTACACAGACCGGCTGGCCGCTGCCCGCACGGGGAGGGAGCGCGCTCGGGTTGGAAGGCGGCGCCCGAGGCAGATTCCTGTTGGCGGAGGGATCCGCGTTTTGTTATCTGCCCCGAGCAGACGAGCAGATGCGGCTTTGGAGCGGCCCGGCAGCCTGCACGCCTTGCCCGCCCAGATAAATGTCAAGTCTGCACCCTGCGGAGGCTATAAAAGCAGCCACGGGGGATGGGAGGCGGCGAGGGGTTAGGAGTGGCCGCTGCGAAACTGAAAATTATTTTCTGCCCCAGTCCAGTGAATTGTTCTCGTGGGACGCCAGCCAGAAAGGGCGCCGTAGCCTTCCGTGGTGCGGCGTGGCCTCAGAAACCCCCTGTTCAGAGCCCAGCGAGGGAAACAATGTTTCCTAACCCTGATGTCATTCTATTTTTCTCTCAAAATGTTTCCCATTACAAGCATAATGTGTATTCATTATTATAGTGTAGACAATATAACTACAACATAAAGAAACAAAAATTACCTTTAAGTCCATCTCTCGGCAACAATCACTACTACCGATTTGATGGGTTTTCTTTCTCTCTCTCCTCTTTCCTGAATTGTGTCTCTTGCACCCACTAGGTATGACGGACAGATAGAGAAGCGAATCAGCGGACAAAGGCCCGCCCTCTTGGAGCTCCGTCTGGAGGGGAGGCACAAGATACATGTATCAGAGAACTTTCAGTTTCTTTCCAGTTTTCCTCTGTTACAAATGATTGGCAGTGAGCCCAGTGTCTGAATACACGCACGTCGATTGCATCAGGAAAACTCTGAAAAGTGACATTGAGGAGCCGGGTGTTACCCATCATGAAAATCTGTAACAAGCACCTTTGTGCATATTTATATTAATATGTTGATAGTGTCTGATAAATGCCTCGTCTGCCTGTCGAGGACGCTTTCCAATTACAGACCTCTGGATTCTCGGTGTGAGAAGGGGTTGGCAGCTTGCCTGCCGAGCTAACCCCTCGCCCTACTCCCGATCTAACTTACACACCACCCAGACAGAGAGCTCATCCCTTCCTCAGGCATGGCTCCGTCCCGGGCCATGTCCCCCTTACACTGACACGAACTGGTCTCCCCGGGCTCCCCACACGGGCCTGGGCTCACGAGACTGTGCGCAGCAAAACCCAGGCCTCCTCCTCACGCCGGCCCGGCTGAGCGCGAGACCAGCTCCGTGTCCCCTCTGCACAGCTGCTGGCACAGTCCCCACCCCCTGCTAAGTGCATCTCCTTTCCTGGGACTCCATCCAGGGATTGCCTCACCTCTGCCAGGGAGCCTTCCCTGACCACCTCTTCCCAAGGAGGGGACAGCCCGGCCCCCCCACACCCCTGCTCCCGTCCTCCTCCGTGGAAACACCTGCCTCCTTTACTCCCCGGCTCCCTCCCACAGCGGCTGCCGCTCCGTCTGGATTAGAACCTGTCGAGTCAACGGGGGGACAGGAGGCCCGCATCGCGGACAAACGCCGTGACCTTGGGCACGCGACGTGTCGCGTCTCGGCCCTGCGCTGTGACGTGGACACCGAGTCAGCACCCTGGGGCTGTCGCTGCACTGGAAATGTCCACTGAGCCAGGACCATGAGCCTGGCACCGGGCTGAGAAGCGGGGACACCGGCGTGGACCAGACAGGACAGGTCCTGCTTCCCTTGGAGTGGAAATGGGTGCGTGAACCTGGCCTTCCCGAGGCCTAGGGAGGAACTCTGGGGGCTGGGTGGGGAGCAGCAGCAGGGAGTAGCCCAGAGGGGGTGGCCAGGGCAGCCCACCCTGGGAAGGGGCAGTTCCAGCTGAGACCTGGAGGAGGAGGAGGGTGCTCAGGGCAGGGGCGGGGAGCAGTGGATGCAGCAGAACTCCAGGCCTGGGGAACAGCAGCGCAAAGGTCTTGAGCTAGGGTGACAAAGCCAGGGTGACCCCAAATTGACCAGAGGTCAAGTGAAGGGCTTGCTCATTCAACCAACATTCGTGGAGCGGTGGGTTGCCGGGCCCCGGGCTGCTTGTGGGTTCTAGGTGCGGGGATGGGGCGGGGGGGGCGGGGCAGCAAGACAGGCCCCCGTGGCCCCGGGAGGGCTGAGAGGTGCGTGGGGGAGATCAGGTGGTGGAACAGGTTAGACGGGGTTCCTGCCTGTGCCCCCAGTCACTGCAGTTCAGTCCTGAGTCCGTGAACCCACGGCTTCACCGGTTCTAGCCTCAGTCCTGCACGGGGCGGTGGCTCTGTCCATCCTGCATCTCACCGGTCTCCAGGCAGCCCCCTGGGGGCCGGGCACTGCACCGGGCTCTGGGGGACCGGACTCCGCAAGACAGACAGCTCTCAGGTGCACGACGCTTCCCCTCGGGAGAGACAGGACAGACGCTAAACTGAGGAAATCGAACAGGGACAGGGGACAGAGCGGCTGGGGCGGCAGATCCCGGTACACAGGGCAGCTTTCGCTGAATCTCAGGCCTGGAGAGGAGGCGGCAGCACCCCCCCGCCCCCGCGCCCGCACAAACAGCTCGCACGCAGGCCCAGCGCCAGGGTGGTGGCCCAGCGCGCCGGGGGCTCAGGGAAGCCTGCCCTCCAGGGAGGCGTTCGGCCCTTGACAAGTCACTCCCTAACCTGGAGGGGCTACCGGCGCAGGGGTGCCCGTCCCGGGCCACACACAGTGCCCGGCTTCCTGGAAACCAGCGAGACCAGCCCCCCCCCCGCCCCGCCCCGTGTCCCCGAGGCTGGCACGGGCTCCTCCCGCGGGGCTGGCAGCGGGGCGGCGGGGAGAACAGGGCCGCATTGTGAGCGGCCCGCAGGGGTGGGGGCAGACAGAAGGCCCGAGTGTGTCCAGGGCGGGCCGGCTGGGCGCTCCGAGGAGCTCGCGGAGCAGCTGGTGGCCAGGCCACGAGTGCGGCCAGGAAGAAACAGGTCTTTATTAAGGGCAGGCCACACCGGGCCATCCATCCGCGGGGACCTTCCCGAGGCTCGGGGCGGGGCGGGGGCTGGGCGCAGAGTCACGACGACGCAGATAGAGTCAGTGGGTCCGCGTGCACGGGCCCCAGACCCTTGTCTCCCCGGGGAAAGGCGCCTGCACTGGGGGATGCAGACACGCCTTCCTGCCCTCCCTCCCTCTCCCCCAAAACAGACAACAATTTAAACCCCCAGGGGGAAGGCGGTGGCTGGTGAGTAGCACCACAGCGCCCCCTGGGCCCCGCGGTACTCCCTCGGCACGGGTGCCCTTAGCAACCCCATCCCACTGGTGGGAGGAGTGAGGCCGGGAGCGTCCCACCTGGGCCGGGTTCACGGCTGGTAAATACTGGGGCAGGGGTGCAGCCCCGGTCTTCCCGAGCCCTGTGCCTGTGTGTTTCACCACCGTGCTGTGTGTGCATGTGTGTGCATCACACGTATGTGAGTGTATGTGTGTGGGGGGTAGTCTGGGTGTTCCGGGGCACATGCAGAAACTTGACGTGCTCAGGACACACAGGGTGGGCTCATGTGCACTTACTGGGGTGGGGGGGGAATGCCCCACACTCTCCCTGCCAGAGGCCAGAGCAAAGTGCCTGCTCTCCCAGCCGGGCATTTCCTCCCCGGGGACAGGGCCCCAAGGGAGCCGGTCAGGCCCCGGAAGGCCCGCGGGCAGGAGAAACGGCAGTGCCCCAGAGTGAGCGGGAGGAGGGGCTGGAGCGCGGGGCCTCACAGGGGACCCAGCTGCCGGCCAAAGGGAGCCCAGCGTGTGTGGGCGGAGCCTGCCTCTGCGCACCGGCCTGGCCTCAGAGCAAGACCCTCCCGGTCAAATCTGCCGGTCGTGCCCCTTGTTCAGACCGTCGTGGGGACAGACTCCCAGTCCTCGGGACCAGCCCGCTCCTTGCCCTCACTTCCTGCCTCATGATTTTGCACTTGGCACTCAGGTCAATCTCTCCAAGCCCATGGGTGGGGCCCGGCCTCCGTGCTCACGCTCCGTGGCCGCTCAGCAGCAGCCCTCAAGCCGGCTCCACCTGCGGGCTGCCCGCCCCTGCACCAAGGCCCCCGGCAGACGGACGCTGCCAGGCAGGGGACAGTGCCTCTCCCTGTCCGTTGGGCCCCGGCCCTGGAGTTTCCCCTGCCTGGTGCTCATCCCAGGGGAGGCTGGTGACTGACTCATCTGCCCCACTTCTGAGCTGCCCCTCTCTCCAGGGGGCGTCCCCTTACTCTGACTACGGAGTTCAGCACCCCAAGACGTCGTAGCCTGAAATAGCCATTTGTTCAGCTCACAGATGCTGTGGGTCAGGAATCTGGATTCGTCTCTGCCCCATGACGTCTGCGGCCCGAGCTGGAATCGTGCGGAGGCTTGTCCACACTGGGCAGTCTGCTGGCTGTCCACTGGGGCCTCAGCTCCTCCCCACGTGGCTGCTTTGGGCTTCCTCACAGCGGGCGGCCAGCGTCCCCAAAGCTGGAGGCAGGTGGCTGGGGGATCCGAGGAGAGGGACACAGTCACCCCCGCTGCTTGGTGGGGAGAGCAGCCAGGTCACAGAGTGAGGAGAGACCGTGGGATTGTATCATGTTGGAAGACGCAGTCCACTGCGCACCACCTCTCCGGAGCCCGGCGCAGGCCAGGCAGCACCCAAGCAGGACCCAGGAGATTTCTGTGGGGCTCCAGCAGTCCAGCAGTCCGGGCACAGCCTCCAGATCAGAAACCTGAGACGGGGCTTTGCTGTAACCTTCCCCAGGCCCTCAGCTCTGGGGACACGGGTCCAGCTGTGCCACGCTGCCCCCTAGTGGCCAGAGGCAGCATGTCCGGGAGCCTTGCAAGGCCTGAGAGCCTGCGTGGACCTGTGGAACCTGACTCTGCTGCCCTCGGGCCTCCAGGATAAACTCTGGAACCTTGGCAGGGTCGGGCACAGTGAGTGGCCCCTGCACACTGCATCATCGCACTCCGAGAAAGCGTGGCGGGGGGGACCACGGCACCTGCTGCAGGGACCACTGACCACGTGCCCAGCAGCCAGGGCCAGCGGAGAGAAGAAAGTTGGCGGGGACAGAGAATGTCATCCGGAAACCCCACCGGCTGGGAGATGGTGACCGGGGGCATCACCGGAGGCTTGCGTCCAGCCCCCAGGGAAATCGTTCCTCCTCTTGCAGTGCGGGGGGGAGGATAAACAAAGTGTGAACCGTCCGTCCACAGGAACGTGATTCAGCCATAAAAAGAAAGGACGTTCTGACACCGGCGCTAACACGGTGACCCCTGAGGACGCCATGCTGAGTGAAATGAGCCGACCCCCGCCCCAGGACAGACACTGTGTGGCCGAGTTTGCACGAGGTCCCCAGAGGAGTCAGGTTCTGGGAGACAGAGTGCAATGGTGGGGGCGGGGGCGGGGGCTGGGGGTGGGGAGTTGTGTAATGGGTGCAGTGGGTGACAGAGCGTCAGTTTTGCAAGACGAGAAGAGTGCCAGCAGCAGAGGGCGGCGCTGGTTGCGCCACCCTGGAAACGGACCAAACACCGCACGTGGTTAAGGCGGTCCATCTGTCTGATGTGTGTTTTACCACAAACTTTAAAAAATCAGAACAGTGATTAAATTTTTCAAAAACATACTTTTTTTAAAAAAAGGAGCACTTCCGTTTCCAACTGAAAAGCCTTCCTGAGCTGACTCCGGGAGCAGGTGGGCTGGCGCTGACCTCCCACGCCCCGCGTCC